CCTGGACCTGCGGAACCAGAACCTCTGGAGATGCAGCCCCAGTTTGTCTTCACAAGCTCTGCAAGAGCTAAAGTTGGAGCAACACCAGTCCGAAGGCCATGGGGATCTCTGTATGGTCAGTGGCACTTGGGGGGGGGGAGGGAGAGACAGGTTCCTGTGAGCATCCCTCGAGATTCTGGTTCTGCAGGTCTGGGGTAGGTCCTGGGACTCAGCATTTCTAACAGGCTCCCTGGTAATACCGATGCTGCTAATCCAAGGATCATGGCGTAGGCAGGTCTCGGGCCACCAGCGATGATGGAAGATCTCTTTTGCAGTCACTCCCTGGTATGCTACACCGTTCCTCCAGGAGTGATCAGTGAGGTGGCTTTAGGAAGTCCGTTCTTGGTTTATATTGGCGTGTCTCTTATCATGTATTGGGGGGTACACAACTAGAAGCGCAAGTCTTTTGTTGTTTAGGACGGATCCAATTTATGTAAGTAAGCAGAACTTTTTTATTTAAGAATTATTTTTATTGTTTAACTTTATTTACTTATTTTAAAATTTTTTTCAAAGAATTATGTTATTTAATTTTACTTATTCATTCATTTATTTGAATTTGACCAGAGAGAGAGAGAGAGAGAGAGAGAGAGAGAGAAAGTGAGAAAGCAAGCTACCAGGCCCAGGACTTGAACCGTGGTCGGCTATGTGGGAGTGTCCAGTGCCTTAACCACCATGCCCCCTGCTGGTCCCCTACTTATTTGTTTTTAATTTGACCAGAGAGGGACAGAGTGAGAGAGAGAGAGAGAAAGTGAGAAAGCAAGCCACCAAGTCTAGGACTCAAACTGTGATCAGCCTTGTAGGAGTCCAGCACCTTTAACCACCACGCCACCTGCTGGCTCAATGAGCAGAACTCTAAAAAATTATGTTATTAGTAGAGATGAACTGTGGATTAGGCAGAAATGGCTGGTGTTCAGAGGACCCAGAGCTGGAAAATTGCCCTAAAATATCACAGATGTCCAGAACCTATACAGAAGGGAGGAATAGGAAGAGAGGAAGGAAAGGACAGAGGGGGGAAGGAGGAAAGGGTTGAGCTCTCATTTTTACTTTGTATCCACAGAAACTTGGTGAATAGCAGCATTAACAACAACAAGAATAATGAGCTTTTGCTGGCTTAAACATAAAGATCCTGAGGCCAGCAGGTAGCATAGTGATTAAGGCACTAGACTACCACATGGCCGACCCTGGTTCAAGTCCCAGACCCAGCAGCTTGAAATTCACGCCAGGCATGTGCACGTGCATACCCAAAATCCCAAGAGGAGAATGGAGGAGAAGAGATTGCAGTGTGGCCATCACCCTGGGGTGATTTCTTACTTTTTGTCTCTCTGTCTCTTTGGTGAGTACATACACCTTATAGCAAAAATCTCTAAAAAACAAACAAACAAACAAAAAAAATAAAGATTGCTTCCTCTCCTTGGTCTCTTTCTATCCTTAGTGGAGCTGGCAGGAAAAACAAAACAAAACAAAACTTCGTAGCCCGAAGGCTAATCCTGCACTCTGGATTATGTTGTCAGAATTAATTCAAATTCTTGCTTGAAACCTGGTTTATTTCAGGGTTGAGACCTTCCCCTTAAAATAACATTATTTAAGGGCAAGCCGGTTTGGTTTGTTTTTCTACCTAATCCTTTATTGATCATCGCCCAGGACACCGGGGCATAACCAGGTAAACAGTGAGAAGCAAAGGAACAAAAGGCATTTCCCAGAAACGTCCTTCCCCAGGTGCAGTGACTCAGCAGGAGTGGGGGAACAGTGCCCACCTGGCCACACCAGCCTGGCCAGGGCACCCACCCTGCTATGAAAGTCCACCGCAAAACAAAACCAAACAAAGCAACCAATTAGAGCTACCGACATTCACTTCCCCCAGAGTGAGATGTCCCTCCCTTGTTTAAAAAAAATGCCATAGGGGGAACCAACAGATGGCGTAATGGCTACATCACTGGACTCTCATATAGTCGACCACAGTTTGAGTCCCAGACCCGGCAGCTTAAAACTCACCCCAGGTACATGAGTGTGCATGTCCAAGATCCAGAGTATCTCTCTCTCTCTCTCTCTCTCTTCAGCGAGCACATGCGCCCTATAGCAAAAAATCTCTCTTAAAAAAAATAAATGCCACAGGGGAGAGAGAGAAAGCACTTCCCAAGGGTGCTTGCTGGTCATGCTATAGTCCCGTTTTCCTCCATTTCTCCATCCCATCAGGACGCTGGCTGGACA